ATGGCCACACTGCCTCCCTGTGACCCCCATGATGACAGCACCCACTACCCCCCTATGGCCCCCCCCATCTCCTCCCCCATCCAGGCATGGGGGTGGGTGAAGGCACCCCAGGAGCACCTTGACGTGGTAGGGACCCAGCACGATCCACCCGCAGAAGCAGTAGCCCAGGTAGATGACGGCCACGCAGCAGCAGAACCTGATGACGTTGGGAAGAGCCACCCTCAGCGTCACGATGAGGATCTGGAGCAGGAAAACCACTTGGGATCAATCCCAACCTTCTGAGGGTGTCATTGGGAGGGGACCCAAGAGAGCACCCCAAGGGAGAGTGGGATGGGGCCATGCAGCGGCTGAGCCCGAGCTCATCCAGGTGCCATTCCCAGCCTTGGGAATCGCCCCCTGGGCTCCCTGGTGTCACTCACGTTGTACTTCTGGAAGAAGGTGAGGTACCGGATGACCCCGACCCACACCAGCAGCGTGGAGGTGCCCAGGAGGATGCTGCAGACGTCGTAGCTGGCAAAGTTCTGCAGGGACATGGGTGCCACAGGCTGTGCCACCAGCCCCAAGGCCCTGGCAACCAGTGGCTGGTGACATCCTGGTGCCACAACCCCCAGGCAGCAGCAGGACACGACCCTGTCTCTGTCCTTCTGCTGCCTGCTTGGAGCAGGGTCCCTGTGTGAAGGCCTCAGGAGTGATGTTTGCCCCCAACCCCACCACAAAGCCCCCCAGGAGAGCATCACCCACTGTGCTGGCAGCACCTATGGGTGACCACTCATAGGTGGAAACGGCCCTTCCTGGGCACATGGGGAGATGGGTGCCAGCAGCCCCGGTGCCCACAGGAGCTGGAGGAGCTGTGGTACCTTGGACTCGATGCCAATCTTCATGATGGTCCCCAGCACGGTGAGGACATCGCTGATGACCAGGAGGATGTACCAGCCGTTGAGGAATTCCATCCTGTCCGACAGGCACACACTCTGGTTGTAACGGCGCTGGAAGAACCGGCTGAACTCCTGCGTGGCGAGGAGAACCCTTCACCCATCCCACAGCTTCACCTCAGCATTCCCAGCGGGAAAAAGGGCCTTCTGCAGGCCCCTGCTCCATCCACCTCCATGCAGAGGTGGGATGCAGCGTCCCAGCACTCACGTGCTGGAGCATCAGGCCTCGGATGATGGAGCGAGCGCAGAGGATGAAGGACAAGGAGCAGACGAGGATGACGATGACATCGAAGAACAGCCTGAAGGAGTTGTCACCTACAA